TTCTACTTGAGCCTTAATATCAGCTCCTCATTTTCCTCCCTCCCATCCCACTCCCTCATCCCTCATGAACCCTTATTAATTCATAACTTATTATTATTTTGTCATATCTTACACTGTCCGACGTCTCCCTTCACCCACTTACTGTTGTCCATCTCCAAGGGAGGAGGTTATATGTAGATCCTTGTAATCAGTTCCTCCTTTAAACCCCACCTTTCCTCTACCCTCCAGGTATCGCCACCCTCATCACTTGCCCAGTTATTTTTAAAACATGTCCTATAAGCCTTGTGGTTAGTCCTAAATGCTCAGTTAGGACTTTCAGAGCAACCCCTTGCCTTTCATATGCATATGATTGAAAAGACATATTAAGGTTTGGGAGGCCTAGAACTGGAGGAATGCTCAGGAACATCCTGGGAACCTCATAAAGACACTTTGCTGGAAGCCCTTCATTGGCTATCCACATGGGACAAAACAAAGCCATTCCCAGGAACTCTCTCAACTGCCATTTCGTTTTAGGTTCAAGAAAGTCTATAATTAACTGAAACCTGAATAAACTGTGTGTACCACCCAGAGATTATGATGGTTGGATAAGGGCACCTTCATTTTTTTCTATGGAAAGTAAAGCTTGGTCTTACAGATAAAATCAGGGTCAAACTTATGCACCGAGTAAAGCTTGGAGGAGATGGAAGTGGAGGTGGGGGTGGCAGTGAAGAAAGGTGAGCTTCAGCAAAGGCTGAGATTCTTAGGATCTGACTGAAGAAATGCTTCATTCAAGTATTGTTTCAAATGCTGACTAAACATGGTTGCTTCATTAATAAAGGTTTCTAAATACTCTAAAATCACAATATCAATTATATGAATACAATATCTAATCTATGAGTAGGAGGACTGCTAACCACAAGGTCATCAGTTAGAAACCACCAGCTAGCTGCTCCTTGGAAGAAAGGCAAGATTTTCTCCTCCTATAAAGAGTTACGGTCTTGACAACCCACAGAGGCAGGTCTACCCTGTCCTATCGGGTCTCTATGAGTCAGAATGAACTTAATGGGAGTTAGTTTTGAAAGTCAATGATTATAATATTATAATTTGCTGTGCTTAAAGGATTGTTTAGCATCAAGATGTTTATGGAAGAAGGTTTGAATTTGCTGCCAGGCATCCACCTGTGCTCTTCCATGAGCCCTTGGCTCGCCTCCATAGAATACTGGTAAGCCCAAAACTGGATGCACTGAGGCTATGCGAGCAGGAAAATAAGGTGGATCAAGACAATGACCAGCTCCTGGGTAGCAGATTATCTGGGGTTTGTCTTTCCTATGGGCCTGTAACCGGTCAGAGGCTATACGAGCATAGAATTCGCCATTCCAGCTATGATCATCCTTGCCAACAATAAACAAGAAGGGCCCTTGAGCTTTTTCCAATGGTATGAGACTTTGGTGGTTAGGCTTTTCCAGTGGGTTATTCCAAATATGCAAACTCTCCAGAAAGCCTGACTCGGTGACTGTACATTTGCTTAGGTCACTGCCAAGAGAAGGAATAGTCATTTCCTTGTAATGCAGAGCAGTCATTGAATTTGCCACACAGGAATTGATGAGTACAGTGGCTGTGATGCCCTTTAAGAAGGAGGCCATGGAGAGACACAGGTCACCGCCTTTGGAGAAGCCAATAAGTCCAATATTAGGGCCTTTCACCTGACAAAAACAGAAAGAGAACATCATAGCATCTATAAGTCGGAGACATAAGTAATGATGTTATATTTACCAAATAACTTTCTCATGTCATTTCCTTAGATATTAATTTATAAAGCTCAGATATAGCTTCTAACTAAAAAAAAATTACAACCAATGGTAGTTGATTTGCATACGGGCTCTCTCTAATGTTCATGAGGTCTGGGTCAAGAGTAAACACATGAAGGTCTATATATATATCTTAATATTTAAAAACAACAAGCCAAATGCACAAACTGTTCAGTGGAAATATATTCTATTTCCTACATTGTAGATATACCTTTGTAACAATGAAGAATGGCTTGATTTTAAACTCTTAGAAGTCCTTGGAGTTCTGTACTAGAAAGTGGCAGGACTGAGAGCCATCTCCTGCCCTAGCCCTTTGCTCACGGCTCAGCCTCCTTCTCTTTCCATTCTTGGCTTCATTACATATCTTGATGTTCTTTGAACATGTGTGAGACATCACAGCCTACACCTTAAGGCCAATGGGGATCTACACAAATGGGCCTGGGGAACAGGCAGACTGTCAGGAATCAGGCTCAGAGCTTTCCTGCAGAAAAGCCCAGGGCTCCAGCTCCGGAAACACAGGCAGATACTTTCATGTGGTGGAGCCTACGGCTACTCCTTGAGCAGGGAGGCGTGCAGGCAAATGACGGCTAGACTGTGGCCACCAGCAATGGAAGTTCTGGCACTAGAAGGCCCTCTTGCTTAGGTCTAAGGGCAGAACTAATAAAGATCTTACTTTTTCTAGGACCCTATTTCTCCTGAATTAGCCAACGATCACAGTGCAAGGGCACTGAGGGTTTAGCAACTCTGCTTAAAGACCAATTCTTGAAGTCTACCAGAAGTAGGCCATCTGTGAGACCTTGAAGAACAGCTTATCCTTTAACTTTAGAATACTTGGCTTCTTTAACTCTAGGTACTAGCCAAGAGTATATATCTTTTCGCTTATAATCATACCAAATTATTTTACTTAATTAGTCAGTTTTCCATTACCGATAAGGACATGTCTTATAACTCCAAATGATACACACTTAATAAAATTACACAGCGATGGCTGACCAGGGCCTCTGACCCATACAGGCATCTGCTATGGGAGTGATGGGCCAGCCCTGGTGTCTGAGTGATTCCCAGGACCCAGAAAACTTCCAGAGCCCTGAAGACCAGGGGAAACACCCCTAAATACGGACTCATTTTCCACTCCACCTTCATTGGCAGGGCAGCTGCCAAGAACAAAGGCCGCATCTCCCGATACCTGGCAAACAAATGCAGTATTGCCTCTCGGATCGACTGTTTCTCGGAGGTGCCCACGAATGTATTTGGGGAAAAGCTCCGAGAGCAAGTGGAAGAGCGACTCTCCTTCTACGACACTGGGGAGGCGCCTCGGGACAATCTGGATGTGATGAAGGAGGCAATGGTTCAGGCAGAGGCGGCCGCTGAGGAGATGACTAGGAAGCTTGAGAAGCGGGAGAAGAAACGCTTGAAAAAGGAAAAGAAGTGACTGGCTGCACTTGCATCTCAGGAAAACAGCAGTGCTCCTGAGGAGTGTGAGGTCGCAGGGCAGGAGACCAACGGGGAACGGCCCAAAAAGAAGAAAAAGCAGAGGGCCCAGGAGGCTCCACAGGAAAATGGATTTGAAGACCCAGCTCTCTCTGCTCTCCCCAAACCCATAAAAAAGAGATCTAAGGAGGAGATGGTCAGCAGTGATCCAGAAGGGGTGCCTCCCCCCAAGAGGAAGAAACTGAAATCTCTCCCCAGAGAGGAGCCTGCCTATGATCCTCAAGAGTCAGCAAATGGCGGGAGCATCCCAAAGAAAAGGAAGAAGCTCCCTGGAAAGGGGGAGCCTGCCAGTAGTGGACCCGAGGAGGCAGCTGCTAGCAGCAAGAGCAACAGCACTAAGAAAAAGAAAACAATTAAAAAACCAGCCCAGGAAGATTAGAATGGACATTCCCTGGTGCTCCTCAACCCTCTCAATAAAGAAACAAGTTTACCAAAAAAAAAATTAATGATTACTTAATATCATAAAGTATTCAGTCTCTAATCCAATGTGACCAATTATCTTAAAACTGCCTTTTAAGAAAATCGTTTTATTGGGGGCTCATACAACTCTTATCATAATCCATACATATATTCATTGTGTCAAG